CCCGTCCGCCCGTCTGTCCGTCCCCGCCTCCGCCGCGAGCCCGGGCTGGCGCACCGCACACGCGCGGATGGAAACGTTAAATTCCAGGAGCTCAGCAATAAGGCATCTGAGCTTTGTCCCTCTCCCTCCCCTTCGGGTGTCTCCGGAAATTGTTCTGTGGGTTTCAGAAAACATCTCTGCAGGCCCTCAGGGCCGCAAGGCAGCGAGATGCGCTGGGCGAACGAATAACCCGATCGCGGGGAGATCCTGGAGCCCTCCGTGACCCGCATCCATCCCCCGGACCGGTCCCAGGGCAGCATTCAGAGCCAGAAGCTAATCACGTACTGATCTAGCTTGATTTCACAGGAAGCGCCAGGCACCCGACACTGCGTGCTTGAATTCTCTAAACCCAAAGAGACCCTTTTGGGGAAACCAGCCCTCCTCTTTTTTAAATTTTGAGAAGGAATTCAATGTACATACGCATGTGACCGGAAGGGGCTGGAAGTGTGTAAAGGTGTGGTGGTGTTGGTGTTTAATCTCGAAGTTGCCATTGGGCGGTTCTCAGATCTCTTCTAAATCCCGGGCAAACGCTGCAAAGATGACTGGCTGGAGGAAAGCTGGCCGGAGAGCAGACCCCGTGTGATGAATTCCACGGCTCTGAACGCTGTGTCTCCTTCTGGCCTGCCCGAGAACGGAGAACTCCACTTTGGAAGATTCAGTGTTACTCAGAGACTTTTTCCCCATCTTGGCTAAATGGTTTCCTGATAACTGCTGTTTCTCAGAATGACACCCGAGTGCTTTGGCTTTCCAGGCGGGGGCGAGAAGCCCACGTGCGTGTGCCCGCTTTGTGTGCCACCCGACGGCTGCCCTCTTCCTCTTTCCAGAGGGACGTGAGAAATAATCTGCCTTCCGGGCCACACAGACTGAGAAAAAGACACGAAAGCAGTAGATGCCAAAACCAGCTTGTCCCCACAACATGTGTACACGTGAACCCCTCAAAGCCCTCAGATAGCTCGGGGAGCCCCTACCACCCCCACTTGTCGCCTGGGTTCCGAGGACTTGATCTTGTAGCATGGCCATTCTATTCTCCATCCCCAGGGGCCAGCCCCCTGAACGTGGTTCTCCTTGGCACCTAACCAACAAGAAGTTGCCGCTGGGACTCCGGCAGGCTGTCCAGGCTTTGCCTCCAAACGAAGCCCTTGTCCTTGCTATGGCTTCTTCCCTATAGGGCCCTCTGGCTTTGTGACTCCAGAACCATGGGGTTTCTAACTCTGCCTTCCAGACCGGTCATCACACGCGTCCAGGCCCCACACCCTGGCACGCAGCCTGGGACCATAGCAGTATGGAAATGAGTTAAAAATATGAAAAGTTGGTTCTATCATGTTTCCCCAAAAACACGTGAAGCACCAATGATGATTACGCTGATGGATTTTTTTCTCTTGAAAGCATGTTTATCCTTAAAAAAGATCAATTGAAAATAGTTACCGTACCAAAAATGCCACTTAGTTAATTCCACAAAGTTAATATTCTCAAAACTCAGGCCATTTCCTGGACAGCAAGTTGTGCCCAGTTGTGACACAACACAGCAGTGTTCACTCGTGTTCCACCCCTCCTGCTCCAGCTTCCTTCCGTCACATCTTAATCCACAGTGAATCCACAGTGAATTTCGCCCACCTTGAAAGGAGGCTTCAGCCGGACAGCTGCGGCAGACCTGCAGCTGCCAGTTTGAGAACTGGCATAGTCAATGGCTTTGGCCATTTCTCAGTGTTACTTTTGCTATTCCTACCAGTCTTATCCTGGACATAGAGTTAAGAGTAAGACCACAGTATAATTCGTTCACATTTTAAAAGTAACAAAAGCTCAAATGAGAAAACTGAAGAAGGGAGAAGGAAGGGTGGAGAAAGGAAGGAAGAGACTCCACCTCCTCCACTCCCCCAAACAGTCGGTGACACCACTTCTGAGCATTGGTAGGTCTCACTCTTGCGTTTGCACCTGTGTGTACAAAGTCTATATGAAATTTTAATACTGTTGCAATGGTAAGAGGAAACACCAAAGCTGAAGCATCGAAACGACACCCAGGATTTGGAGGCAGATTTATTTACATCGACGGACACCGATCGGGAGCATTCCCCAAATATCAGGCCCTGATCTCTGGTGGTCTAGGGCTTCTACGGGATAAGCAAGCAGGAAGTACAGAGGCAGAACGGCTTGTCAGTTGGGGATTGGTTTATACAGTGTACACCATAGTGACCAGCTATGCATCACAGTGACCAGCCAATTCTAAGACACAGAAGCAACGGGATCTGGAACAGGAACTATTACCTGGGCAACTAAGAAACTGAAATATACTCGGGGGGGGGGTAATATTGTTTTCTGCTGCATTGAACTTTACCATGACTTGTGACCATGTCATATTGTGCTGTATGTCATAATTTAACCGTTTTCATTACATTAAATTAGATTAATTACCATTTTAATAAACTACTTACTACTTGTATGGTTTTAATGTGTATTATCTTAATATAAAATATAACTACTGTGTACATTCCTAATGCACCATAGGATAATGTGCTAAAAATTAACTATTTGGAGAAAGAAGTGGATATACTTTGAAAGCTTTCAGGGTACATTATTACAGAAATTTAGCACCATTTTCTAATCCTATCAATGTAGGTTTGACAGAGTATACTTCCCTAATCAAAGAGGTTTTTCTGTATAACATCATTTTTAAAAACTCCTTGGGTAATTTTTTAAATCAAAGGGGAAAACACAAATATTAACTATCAGTTCCTTGTGACAGTATAATTTAACATTGTACTCTATGATGCCGCATCTGTTTTCATTTTCCGAAAGAGCAAACCCCTTGTGTTAGTTAACTGTTGTGTCAACTTGAGTGAGAAATGCCCAACTAAATTGGATCAGCACAGTTCTGACGTGCTGAAGGGATTTACTGATGACAGAAGACCCAGCCTGGGTGTGAGTGACAGCAACCAATGGGCTTGTTGCCTGAATGGAATAAAAGGGAAAGGAAGAAGGAAGGCAGCTTCTGTTCCTTCGGAGGAGTCCAGTCTTCACCTTTGCCTTGGACATCGTCTCCTGGCTTCTAGTGCAGACCCCTCAGCCTCCAGCGCAGACTTCAGCCTGTTCATTCGGACTTACACGGGACACTGCAGTGAGCCCCAGGCTGCAGTTGGATCCTTCGATCTCCACGGGGAGACGCCCTCTGCACTCTCCCACACCCCACTCTGTGGGTGGCTGCTATACACCTATCTTATCAATCCTCACCTATTTGTGTACCTTGTATAAAATGTTTCTCCAGTGAGCACTGATACACCCTCTAGTGACGATAGCATTCTAATTAAGAAACTCAGTGATAGTTAATACTTTGAAATCCATAATATCAGCTCTGTATTTCTGCTTTTGTAGTGGACATGAAGAAAAAAGTTTGTTTATTTTTAATAGTGAAACAGTTTCATCTCATGAACAGAGAAATAGATGACATGTTGGCCTTATTTGCATGCATAGTCATGGCAAGGTTGGGTAAGCCAGCCCTCCTTTTCTTGTTAGAATTCACTTCAACAAACATTCCTTGAACACCTATTAAGTCTGTGTCGAGCTCTGGAAAATTTAGTTTACTGATTTGTTGAACAGAGAAAATAATTTTCATTGTAATTTTTCATGTATCATGAATACTGTAATATCTGTAATATACTTTGTACTGTCCAGAACAGATGTTACCTGCATATGGAAACCTAGTACCAAGCATTCTGCAAACGTTTACATCTCAGCAAAACAGTTTCAAAGAAAATAAACAGTGAAATAATGCCACTGTGTAGTGACTGAAGCATTAGCTAGAACTGTGGCTTCCAATCTGGGGCAGGGTCCCCTGAAGAACTTCAGCAAATGCACCCCGCTGTGGACACTGAAATGCTTAGGGGATCACAGTGAGTCCTGTCATGTGCTTTGCAAACTACCTCTGTTCTGTTGCCATGGCCAAAGGACTGTTAGAAATTTCATCCGGCCTAAGGACTCTATGAAAAATAACTGATCTACAAGGCTGGAAAGTTTGGTTTCCAGTTGGAAATCTGAGGCATTGTGTAGAAACCACAGCTGGAGATACTTGTCTTTAGGAACTGTAAAACTTTCTGAATTACACTTGTAGAGTCAAGCACTAACCTTGAGAGGGTGGGAGAGGCTCCATCCCTGCCCTGGCTCCGCAGAGGTAGCATGGCCCGCTGGGGAGCCATTGTTCACCTGGAGTCCTGACGCCAGCTGTCGCCTATGCCAACAGCACCATCTCTGGTGGGCGTGGAGTTGTGCGGGGTCTGTGGGATCAGTTTGCCCTCTGGGGGGGTTAGAAACCGGGGTCACCTATGTGGGCGGGCAGTGCTGTGCACATCACTGACCCCCCATAAAAACCTGGGGCACGGAGGCCTGGGTGAGATTCCTG